AGGGCTGCACGGCCCAGCGGCCGCGAGGGGTGACCCCCGCAGTTCCAGAAGGTACGGTGAGCAGGCTAGCTGGGCCGCTGCCCTGATGGCGCTTGGAACTGCCGGAGAGAAGCAGCAGAGAAGTAAGCACTCTTTATTGGTGCTGGGGCTGCTGAACCTGAATGGCTAACACCTGCTCCTCAGAAATAACCATCTCTTTATACAAGTAGTACTGGAAGAAAGGGTGGTACTGGGGGGTCATCTTATAACGTGGCCATTGCTCAGAGACTGGCTGGGCCTTGGTCTGTTTGTAGGAGGTGGTGAGTTATTGCTTTTGCACTTCTTTTTTATATGTACAACATGTATAGATTATATAAACAGTACTCTACCTTCTTGCACCTTCTGTGTGCATTCATCAAGATTCCACACTATCACACGTTCATGAGATGCAGAGCAGACAAGAAGGGAGTTGGTTTTACTTCCAAATGACAATGCAGAAATTGGGTAATGATGTCCTGACAAAAGTAATGGCTGACAAATGTACATAAAGAAGAGTTAAATGAGTCACCTCAAACAAAGGTTATGACAAAATTACAAATGGATCGTGTACATGCAATTAACAAGACAACAACTATTTTTCTTTACTGTTTCAAAACCACTTAATCAGCTGCAGTGTACAGGGTTTGGCTGGGATGGGGTTCACTTTCTTCATAGCAGCTTTGGATTGGTGCAGTGCTTTGGATTTTGTAATGAAACCCAGTGACAACCTGAAACAGAGTTTTGGCTGTTGCACAGCATGAAGACTTTATGAAAGCTTTCTCTTTTCCCACTCTGTCCCAGCCCCAAACTGCCCCAGCAAATAGGAGGGAGGAAGGGAAGACAGCTTTAACAGCTTACCCAAACTGACAAAGGGATAATCCCTATGATATGATGTTGTGCTCAGCAATAAAACTGGGGTATTGGATAAAGAAGGTGTTGGGGATAGGAGGGAGGGTATCTTCTAAGGTGGCCATTGCTTGAAACTTGTATGGGGATTGGTCTGCTTGTAGGAACTGATGAGTGACTGCCTTTGTATCACTTTTTCCCTCTTCACTCATTAAACTAGCTTCTTTAGTTTATCATGGGGGCCCATGACTTCTCACTTTTGCCTATCTGGTTCTTCCTCCAAGCCTGCTGGGAAGGAGTGAGCCTGAGACTGGCTGGTAGTTTAGCTGCCAGACACCACAGTTTACATTATTCTCATCACGGGAACAAAGCTTTATAACAAAAGCTAGCCTCTTTACAGCACTAGAGTCAAACCCTCACTCCTACACTGCCCTCAGATATTTTTATACCTTCCTTAAGAGGTATAAACAGCCACCTTCTGAAATAGCAGCCTGTGGAGGGATGTGGTTTGGGTTTACCTGAGCAGTCACTGTATTCCAGACGCATAACTCATTTTGATTCAAAGGGAAAGCGCAGTGATGGTGACTACACGCTAGCTGAACGAGGGACTCTGACAGTTCGGACCTAAACAACTGTTTTTCGCAGACAACGTCAGGATCGCAGCTTCCTCCAGAAGCACATCCGTCCCAGTCGCTTTCCATCCTACGGCGGGGCACCGGATTCGCCTCACCGGCTGTGTCCTGATTCCCTGGTAGCGGCACCCTTACACGGGGAGGCGGAGGGGCCCGCCCGGCTCCGCGTCCCGCCGACAGCACAACACGGGCCCCGCTTCACCGGCCCCGCCGCACAACAGCCGGCCCGTAACCAGGGCAGCGGCTCCGCCGACGGGTCGCCGAGCGGGAAAAAAAACCTCCCTCGCCCGCAGACCGCGATGGGCCCAGGCGGCCGCCTCCCTCGGGGACCTCTAGCCCATCTGCGGCACCGGGCAAAGTCCCCTTGCCTGGGCCAACTGTCCTTTTTACAAGGACATGTAGGGATAGGACAAGGGGGAATGGCTTTAAACTGACAGAAGGAAGATTTATATTAGACATTAGGAATAAATTCTTCATTGTGAGGGTGGTGGGACACTGGCACAAGTTGCCCAGAGAACCTGTGGCTGCCCCATCCCTGGCAGTGCTCAAGGCCAGGTTGGATGGGGTTTTGAGCAATCTGGTCTAGTGGAAGGTGTCGCTGCCCGAGGCAGGGGGCGTGGAACTGGATTAACTTTAAAGTCCCTTCCAACCCAAACCATTCTGTGGTTCTTTGTTACAGTGGGCACAGCATGGACCAGCTCATGACAGTGTGTGAAGCATCACTGAGAAGAAAAACAAACCTCTTGCTCTCACCAAGTTTGTGGGTGATGGGAAGCAGTCACCAAGGGGGTGGGCAGGGCTGGCAGTCAGAGGGACTCATCAGGCACAAGAAATTGCTAACAAAAATCTCATGGAGTCCAACAATAGTAAATGCAGAGCCCTGCGTCTGGCACAGGGTAGACCATGCAGGAGGGCAAGCTGAAGGCTGTCTGTCTGGGAAGAAGCTCTCCAGAAAATGATCCAAAGATCCTGCTGGACAAGCTGAATATGAGCCATCTCTGCACCCTTGCAGCAGAGGCAGCCAGCTGCATCCTTCAGCCTGGAGAAGAGACCTTACTGGTCCCTACCTAATGGGAGGATGCAGGGAAGTTGGAGCTAGACTCTTTTCAGAGGCAATCAGTGGTAAGACAAGCTGGAACCTGGGAAAATCCAATTAGATGTCAGGAATTTTTATTTACTTATTTATTTTAAATACCATGAGGGTGGTTGAATATTCAAACATGTTTCTAAAGAGAGGTGGTGGATCTCTATCCCTGGAGTTGTCCAAGAGTCACATGGACATGGCCTTGAGCAACCTGATTTAATTAGACCTGTTCTGAACAGGAAGTTGGAGAAGTCTGAAAGTCCCTTTCATCCCAAGTTATGATTCTATGATCAAGATTTTGATCCACCAACTTAAACCATTTTGGTGCAGGTCAATCTGCAGACTCAGCATCCACCTCAACTGCATTTCAAACAGATACTTTCTACAGGAATGTCTTTCTTGTAACTGTCTGTAATTAACAGTACAAGCATTTTTGCACTGTATGACCACCTAATTTATATTATCATTGACAATACAACCCCCTTTTATTAGTTTTGCCTGGAGAAAGTACCTATCCAAATTCTCTTTCATGTGTCCTTGTGAATTTGGATAAAACCACCGTACTGAGCACTGGCCACAAAGCAGTAACTCAGTGTACTGCATAGGACAGTATTTCTTTTCTGAACTGTAACTCATGGATAAGAATACTAGCGAAAAAATTCACTGTGATTTGCTGATGACAGTTTCCATGACTGATACAGTCATGAATGTGTCATGACAGTTTAGGTATCAGTATAGAAAAATAAACACCGGTAGAGAAAAAAAGGTGTTGTTCAGACAGGCAAACAACCCTTAGGAGTAAAGAACTTGTTCTGAAACGTGGTGTGCCTTTGTCCATAACTGTTTCTAGGCAGTTTAGCATGTTTCTCCCCAGTTCTTTCCACTATGGTTTATTTTCATGTTAAAAGTATTGTAGCTACAACAACCCCCTGTCCATAACAACTCAGGAACTAGTAAGATCAAAAAAAGTATTTGAGACCTTGGTCTGATTTCTTGACTGATCAAACAGGGGTTAGAACACCAGCTCCTTTCCTGCAGCTGGACCCTCAGCCAGCAGCATCAACCTCATGGAGACAGATTCAGACAGGTGCAAATCATCAGTGATTTTTGCTTTCCAATAGATGCTGTTACTCCTCAGTGGCTAAAACACCACTCATCCAAGAATGACAAGAAGCAGATTGCTGCCCTTTTGGCACAAGGTGACAGCTGCATGTGAATACTAGTGATAGTGTGAGCGTGCAGTGAGAAATTTATATCACACGCCCATAAAGCACACTTCCTGCCACATCCCTTTTCTGTGCAACAGGATGCTCAAAGATCTTGGCTCCGGCATGTTCCCTCAGCTCGGCTATCCATCCATTTCTGATTGAACTGACAGACATGTGAAAAAAGGGTCATTTTAGCCAAACAGCAGTTCACTATCATAGCAGTTTTTGTGTCAAACAGCATATTTCTATTGGTCTCAATATTCTTCAAAGCTCTCTAACTTCATAAACACTAGGTAACACATTCTATCAAATCATACGTCAAACTAACAGGCTGCATAAACTTGCCGAATGTGGATTCTGTTACATCTGAGTTTTATTAAATCAATTTAAATCTTTCAAACAGGCTTATCAACTGCTTAGTACACACTGAAACATTAAACCTGATAAATTTCATTATTTAAAGTTGTTCTATCACTGGTTACTTAGGTAAAGAGACCAGCCATCTCTTCACTCCGTCCCCCCTTCAGGTAGCTCTAGAGAATAATAAGGTCGCCCCTGAGCCTTCTCTTCTTCAGCTCTCCCCAGCTGCCTCAGCCGTTCCTCATAAGACTTGTGCACCAGGCCTCCCCAGCTGCCTCAGCCGTTCCTCATAAGACTTGTGCACCAGGCCCTCCACCAGCTTCGTTGCCCTCCCTGGACCTGCTCCACCAACTCAATGTCTGTCTTGCGGTGAGGGTGAGCACAGTATCCGAGGTGCAGCCTCCCCAATACAAAGTCCGGGGGATGGTCATTACCCTAGTCCTGCCACAGCCCACCGACCCAGCCTGCCCAGACTCCTCTGCAGAGCCTTCCTACCGCCGCACTCCGCCACAGCTCCGCACCGAGGGGGCGCAGCAGCATCCCTGCGGCCCGCGGCCCCGCCGGCTCTGTGGGTGCGTATGTGTGTGCCGGGTAGTGCGCGTTGCCGTGGGGACGCCCCCCGCCGTCCTCTCTCGCGATAGCTGGGAGAGGTGGGAACGCTCCTCCCCGCCCCTTCGGGGAGGTAGGGCGGGCTGGGGCTGGAGCGCTCGGCGGTGCGGGCTGAGCGCCGGGCCTCGTTGGTCTGTGAGGGGGGCGGTGCGGTGCGGAGCGGAGCGGAGGCCTTGTCCCGTCCGTCTCCAGCCAGCCTCCGCCGCTGGTGGACGCCCTTGCGGGGCCGGGCTCGGCTCCGGGGTGTGCAGGGGCCGGCCGGCGCCTCGGGGGCCGCCTCCGTGCCAGCCCGCCCCGGGGAGGGGCTCTTCCGCGGCGCCCCGGCCGCTCTGTGCTGCCGCACGTCCGCGGAGCCCGCTGCTGTGCCTCGCCGCGGCCTCGCCGTGCCGGAGTCCCTCGGCCGGTCAGAGGTGAGCCGTGCCCCAGCTGTCTGTCGGCGGAGGGTGGCGGGGGTCAGCGGGGCGGGCAGCTCTCCAAACCGCGGCCCTTCGCAGGTGCTGTTGCACTCCGGAGCGGCGCCTGGTGTCCTTCGGTAACTTCATCGTTCGCCGGTCAGGAGCGGAGCCGTGCGTCTCCCCGCGCGGGTACCTCACCGTCGCTTCGGTTTGAAAGTGGCCGAGGGTCAGTCCCCGGATATGGGGAGGCAGAAGAGTGCTTTTTAATGTCGCTGTTGAGGGTGTTGTGTCGGCTGGGCAAGTTCTGCGAATGCTGTGAGGATTGCTTTTATGCCGTCTGTGCTCAATTGTGGCCTTGTATAGAGGCCTCCGGGGCAGCAAATGCGGAGCTAAAGAAATACTCTCAGCTTTTTCCCTTGTTGTGTTTAGCTGTAAAACCTCTTAAGGTTTAAGTGACATCGCAGTGGAAGCAGTTTGTTTCGATGCCAGCAGGGTACAAAACAGCTTGTAGCTTTCATGTTTGACACTGTAGTGTCCTAATGGAAGGAATGAAGGGATGAGAAGCTTCCTCTTAAACCTGGAAGTGTGTATGTCTACGTGTGGCTGTTGTACTTGAGTGTGACCGCATGTCACAGTCAAGTACACAGTCAGCTGTGTACTTTGGAAGCTGTCAGAAGGGTTCACAAGTTGCGTCTGAACAGTTGCATTAAGTTTCTGCTTGCAAAGAGCTGAGTGCTTGTACGGCAACAGGATCTCTAGGAAACTCCTCTTTTCACGGGTAATATGCCAAGTTTAGTCCTAGAAACAATCACACAGTAGCATCATATCTGAATGTGTTAATTCAGTAGATAACTCAGTTTTATTTCTAATTCCATTCCCGTTGCAAGTCAGAGTGCGTACTGCTTCTTGTGTGTGCCCAGGTTTACACCTTTACTGCCCTTGGAAGTTAAGATGAGTGGATGGGGGAACAAATAGGATCCTCTGAACACCTGAACAGGTTGAACTTCTTCAAGCATACAACAGCATTCTTTTTAACTGCCTTTTTTTTTTAAAAACAGGCTAAAATCATTATTGGGTTTCATCTCAGTCAAATGTATCAGCTATGCAGGTAGAATAAAACTAATGGCCCTGTGTCAGTCCTGGATGATAAAACATCTACCTGCTTGATTAATTCCTGTTTAACTTCATTAAGAAATTCAGGCCACTTTAATCCGACAGAGCTCTGAATCTTAGCAATGAGGTTTTCTTACTAAAACCAGAAAAGTTAATGAACATACTTAATTAAAGTTGCTTAACTGTGTGTGGACTAGAGAACTTATAAAAATTACCAAGTTAAATTTGATTCCTTCCAAGAAGGGTATATACTGAAATCTGAATTATGTTTTGTATTCAGAAGGAGGAGACAAGAACAGGAGAAAGGAAGAGTCTGAATATAGCTCCAGACCATGGCGGCACGCTGGAAAAGAATCCTGATGATTTTTGTAGCAGCTCAAGTACTCGTTGTGGTAAATGCCTTCGAGGAAGAGGATGTACCTGAAGAATGGGTGCTTCTCCATGTTGTTCAGGGTCAGATTGGAGCAGGCAACTACAGCTATTTGAGACTAAATCATGAGGGAAAGATCGTGCTTCAGATGCGGAGTTTAAAAGGTGATGCAGACTTGTACGTATCTGACATGACACTTCACCCCAGCTTTGACGAGTACGAGTTACAGTCTGTAACCTGTGGCCAGGATGTTGTCCACGTACCAGCGCACTTCCGCCGCCCAGTGGGAATAGGGATTTATGGCCACCCCTCTCACTTGGAGAGCGAGTTTGAAATGAAAGTGTACTATGATCGGACGGTTGTACAGTACCCATCTGGTGAGGCTTCTTACAACCCTGAGGAGATGGAGGCCAACCAGAAATACTCACAGTCTACAGAAGATGAGTCTCAGGACGAGGAGTCTGTTTTCTGGACTATACTGATTGGAATCTTGAAATTAATACTTGAAATTCTTTTTTAAATTGACGCACACTGGGCTAAGTCACATTTCAGCCTGTGAAATTGAACATGAATGACTTGCTGTGATATTTAATACACTTTGTAATGGTTCCTGAAGAGGTATTCAGGTTATTTTTCCTAAACCATAAAGGAAGTGGGGGAAAAAGCCATATTTAATTTTATATTGTAAATCCTCCCTCCCCTATACATAAAATGAGCAGCGAGTACAGTATTTGCAGTGTTCTTCAGAGATCAGGGCTTAAAAACGAATGTACAGTTGGGATCTTGTTAAATTAACTTTAAACAGGTGCTTAGGAAAATCAACTCTGATTCAGTATTTTCTATTCTTTTTATAAAGAAAAGTAAAATTAAGTGCTGTACTTCAGGGCCACTCTCAATCTAGTGCATGGTTAAAAATAAAATCTACTTCTGAGCAAGGATCTCCAGTATAATTAGCAATGAGGCTTGAGCACATTGAAGCTGAGGAGCCGAGGGCGAAGGGAGGAAAAACCTCTCAATCGTCTAGGGGGATAGATGATCTATATTTTGCCTGCTTGTGCTCTACATCATGCCAAGCAGAGATCTGTCCAGTCACTCATCACTTCTGCAAAGCCACCACCCAAACTGAATGCGTGTCACTTCTCTGCTGTCACTGTGAGCTGTCAGCTGTTGTTACTTGTCAGTAGGGTGGTTTTGTTCCTCCTTAAAAGCGATGCACTGTAAGGTATCTTGAACTTGGGAGGTGTTTTCTTACACCTCCCCTGATAGCTTGTTGTGATTGATTGTTTGGTTTTCTTTTTTTAGAACATCTTTATGAATAAGTCATGAGCTTGCAAAGAAAACTTCTGCTGAGTGTGCAGTCGGCTGTAAGAAGGTCAGGCTGTGCCCACTCTTTGTTGAAAATCAGTTTTGCCAGGAATAGTTTTTGCCTTGGTTGAGTCTTTCAGAATAACCAGTTGCTATGCAAATAGTGGGTATTGAAGTTGCTCTGTAATTTTCTCTTCACAGAGCTTACTGATGAGTGCACTGAGATAAACAAGTACATTACTATAACTTTATGCAAACGGTGCGTGTACAATTTAAATTTGATTACCAAAAGCCTTCTTTTTGAGTGGGAATTTGATTTGTCTGTCTCTATCCAGACATCCGACAGGATGGGATTAGTGATTTGTATCACAAAAAAAAGTCATTATATAGACAAAATTAAGAGTTTATTTGGTAAAAAGCTAAAAAAAAAAAAAAACAACACCAAAAAGAAGTGGTATTGTTCCTCTTAGAGTGGTTGGTTAAATAGCACCAAAGTATTACTTCAGTTTGTGCAGTTTTGGACAGCAAGGTTTTGGGGGTTTTAGCCCTCCTTGCTGGTTTTCCCCCTTCTTCCTCCTCTTCTTGGTACGGGAGAGTCTTTCTGACAACAATCACAAATCCAGCGACCTAAGAACAGAAAGTTATCAATTATTGGGAAACTTTGTTACTCACCCACCTAGTTATGCACCTTTCACCACTCTTTATCAGTGCTCATCTGTTGGCAGTACTTCCTTCAATGTAAACAGCCAGTGCTTTGCTTTGAAATGCAAACACCTTTGGAGAAGGTGCTGAAGGCAGTGTGTGCAGTGTGCCCTCCCTTGTGGATTCTTGATGTGTAACAACTGGCTACACCGATCTGTGGACCTCAGGAAGCTCCAGCACTGCTAAGGAGGTGGATTATTAGGAAAGAACCTGATGAACGATGCTTCGCGTTTGCGGATTGTTTTGACGTGAATGACCCATGGCCCAAGGTGAACGAACAGCAGCTGGGGAGCACTGCTCTCCTGCTGCAGGTCTGGGGTCCTGTTCCTCAAACCAGTGCCTGTTATTTGAGCGCAGTCAGGCAGCACAGACAACTGCTGGCAGGGCTTCATCACTAGACCTTGTACTGAAAATTACTGACCCTCAAAAAAGGGTTGAGCAAAGAGCAGAAGTATTTAACTGTTTGTATTACAGCAGCTGCAATCATAAGGGCTGCTTTGGTAATTTCATTGTCTAGCAGGCGTATAATCTGTTTCGTTTAGATTCTGTCCTTACGTCAGCCTGAAATGGGCCACAGAACCTGTACTAAGGTGACAGCTAGTGCCAGTGCTTCCCAAAATGGGAATGTACCACATATTTGGAGCACTGTACTTACAGGGGATTCTGTTGCTGCACAACTCACAGCCACTGTGCACTTATTCATGAATTTACTTACCATGGATTTAGTATTACACAAAAAGCAACAGTACCACCAGTTACTTTCTTTACACTGCCTTGAGCTGGCTAGCTGATAACAAATGACCAAGTAATTTTAAGGTACAGGCTGCCTGACATCTAGGTACTGCATTCCAGCTTTGATGTTCAAGAAAAAAAGGAAGGAATGGGTTTAAAAAGATGTTTACAAATACTAAATTGAGTGTACTTTTTAATTTAGAAACTGACGTGATAGCACAAACACTTTGTTAATGTGAAAGCTATACTCCAGCAATATGCAGCAATACAGCCTTTCTACAGGTTTCTTTTATGAAGAGAGGTAATTATTCTCAGTATTCTGTGGATTTGGGGGAAAAAAAAAAACTAGTTCTGAGTGAGTCTGTTTGGATTCTGTTGTACAAGCCAATTCTATTTCCTATACAGGAATGGCCAGGTTAAACTGCACAACCAAATATACCAAAATAAAGCTTATTAAAAAAAATTGTATCCTATGGTGTGCTTTCCTACAGCACTTCTCACTCCTACTGTTCACGTTTGTTTTAAACTATTCTTTCAAAAGCAAAGTGTATATTAACTCTGACAGAGAAAGCCCAGAACTCCAAGAAGGTGGGAACAATTATTACCTGAAGGGATGGCATGAAGTCCCACACAGAAAGTGTGGTAACCACGGTCACATACATCACAGAACATCATTTCTTCTTCATGGTGAGGTTGCCCGCATATAATGCATGTTTTACACTCCATACATTGCCAAGGGTAAGTCTTAATCATAGCAACAAGCTCCGGGGTCATATCAAGGCAAGAAGGGTGCCCTAGATTAAAACCAGTATTATTACTTCTATGTCTGAAATGAAATTTAAGATTAGTTAGAATGTTTGCTTTTACAGAAGCTGAATCTTGGCTCACCTCCTGGTGAGATCCCACAGCACACCCAATGTGCTGGTGCATGTAATGTTAAACAGAGATGGAGTCTTTAACGAAGGACAGAAAAGGCAGCTGAACCGTTGAAACGCAAGCCTAGTACACTAAGTATTTCCACAAACAGATCTGACAAACAGACTCCCTTAGGAATCCACTTAGTGTATGCAGATACTTACCGCTGTTGTCACACTGGGAGCAATGTATAAGAGCTTCAGCTTTTCCTTTCTTGTTGGACTCCTTACCCTTCAGACAAATCCCACATATAGCATTTGGAATGACCTTTGGCTGGAAGGGTAGAAGAGGGCTATAAATTTGTTCCACAAGAATTGACAGATTTAACAGGAAATGTCATAGAACTCCTTAACTCTTAAAATCAATTAAATATCTGTTAGGGTGTGTGAAACTTAAAACAGGACAATCATTGACAAGCAGAGGCACTGAAAAAAAATGCAGGTTAACTACGTAAGATTTTGCATTTGGCACATGTGGCAACTTATACGTAGATCAGATTGGAGCAAAAGCATGTACCTGCTGCTTCCTATGAATTCATCAGCTAACATTCTCCTCAGTGTAAATAAACTGTGACAGAGGATGAAATTGTCAGTCATTTTTTTTCCAACAGAGGATACTCCTGCAGATTTCCCATTTATGGAGGAAATAAAACTTTCCATTTGCAATATATCTGTCCCTGAATATACAAAAATAATTACAAAATCAGTAAACTTTATTTTTCTTTAATTTCAAAATACCTGGTTAGCTCTGCTGCACACAGCTGCCTGTTTTACCATTCTATCTTGTATCCAGCCATAACTGTGGTTATAAGCCTTGTATTTAACTAGTTTTACATTCATCATCTGTCTAAATTATCACCTGGAGTGTATTTGGGTTCCTGAGATCCATTTAGAAGGTAAGAGAAATAGCAGGCTGCTACAGTGAGCAACAGCTGTGTACATATTCTGTGTGCCAACCCAAGAGATACACCAGTGGGAGTCTAAAATCCCAATGAGGACAAGGCAGGAGTAAGGCATTACAAGTTTCTGAAACGTTTCAGTAGTTCTGTTGTTCAGCTCTGCCCCTACATAATGAGATCAATGAGAAATGTTGTTTAAAATTAACACTGTACTCACTGGTGTTAAACAGTGGTGTTAAAACCCAATGTTGCTGCAAAGATGTAGCTAACAGAGTTCAAGGCACAACCTGGTCTCAAAGGAGCTAAACGGCTTGTCAGTAACCAAGAGTTCCAGTCAACTACTAACCATGTGTGGGGAGATGAATGAGGTTTAATTTTAAAATAAATTTTAGAAGCAAAACCAAATAAATATGTGCGTATCTATATATATATTCATATATATACATATATAAAATCAGTGAGATCTTCTGCACTACAACTTATCTGAGTGTGCCTATATCCCCAGACAGTTTTTCTAGCACCTAGCAAGATAATTAGCATCTTGACTCATGTTTAGAGCAGTCACTTTGAGTTCTCGGAAGTTTCATTCTGCTTTTGAAGTTAAAACATGGCTACAGTGTGCTTCAAATTGTCTGAAGCAGTTTATTTACGAAACCAGCACAACACACCAGATGTTTATAGGTGACTTCCTTCAAAAGATGACAGAGGCATTTATGCAGACTTTTTTTTGCTTATTTATTTTAAAAAAGCAGAGTCAACCTGTTTTATACATAATTATAATAAAACAATAAGAAAAGTCTAACATTCACAAATGTCTCTACAAAATAATAAATATAATGAAAGCAATACTACACAAACTCCTTTACGGTTTACTATGTGTCCTACATGTATACCTTTATACCCTGCTCCTCACAACAAAAGTGGCACATGCTTAAACCTTGTCAGTGTTGCAGCATTTACCCTTCCATTGATTAGGCTAAATTCTAATTTTATTGTGTTTTTATCTATTTCTAAGTAAACCAAGCCTTTCTAGAATATCAAGTGCACTTTTCTAATCAGACTTCTAGTTTGTCACGGATTTATATCTGACTGCCTTTAATACACAGCAGTGTACTCCCTGGTAATCAGGAAAGCTAAAGTGAGTTGCTTTTCAGTCACTGTTAACCTGCGTTAAGTGTATGTGGAGTCAACACTCTGATACACAGAACTCCCAAGTTAGACACTAATATAGATGCATTTACCAACAGTGCTTCCATCTAGTCTTACTTCA